AGTTCAACCTTCACTTCGTCAAGTTCATGCATGTGGTAGTGTTCCCTTTCACGCTTGATTATTCGTCTACACATGTGCATATGCTTTCGCTAGTTTAATCTTCACCAAATTCATGCATTTGGTAGTGCTCCGATTCACACTTGGTTATTCTTCTACTCATGTCCATGTGCTTTCACTAGTTCAATCTTCACCTTGTCAAGTTCATGCATGTGGTAGTGTTCCGTCTCACACTTGGTTRTTCTTCTACTCATGTGCATGTGCTTTCACTAGTTCAATCTTCACCTTGTAAAGTTCATGCATGTGGTAGTGTTCCGTTTCACACTTGGTTATTCTTCTACTCATGTGCATATGCTTTCACTAGTTCAATCTTCACCTTGTCAAGTTCATGCATGTGGTAGTGTTTCGTTTCACACTTGGTTATTCTTCTACTCATCTGCATGTGCTTTCACTAGTTCAATCTTCACTTTGTCAAGTTCATGCATGCGGTAGTCTTCCATTTCACACTTGATTGTTCTTCTACTCATGTGAATGCGTTCTCACTAGTGCAACCTTCACTTTGTCAAGTTCATGCATGCGGTAGTGTTCCGTTTCAGGCTTGGTTGTTCTTCTACTCATGTGAATGTGTTCTCACTAGTTCAACCTTCACTTTGTCAAGTTCATGCATTTGGTAGTGTTCCGATTCACACTTGGTTGTTCTTCTACTCATGTGTATGTGCTTTCACTAGTTCAACCTTCACTTTGTCAAGTTCATGCATGTGGTAGTGTTCCGATTCATACTTGGCTGTTGTTCTACTCATATGCATGTGTTCTCACTAGTTCAACCTTCACTTTGTCAAGTTCATGCATGTGGTAGTGTTTCGTTTCATACTTGGTTGTTCTTCTACTGGTATGCATGTGTTCTCACTAGTTTTACCTTCACTTTGTCAAGTTCATGCATGTGGTAGTCTTCCGTTTCACACTTGGTTGTTCTTCTACTCGTATGCATGTGCTTTCACTAGTTCAGCCTTCACTTTGTCAAGTGCATGCATGTGGTAGTGTTCCGATTCACACTCGGTTGTTCTTCTACTCATGTGCACGTGCTTTCACTAGTTCAACCTTCACTTTGTCAAGTTCGTGCATATGGTAGTGTTCCGATTCACACTTGGTTGTTCTGCTACTCATGTGCATGTGATTTCACTAGTTCAACCTTCACTTTGTCAAGTTCAAGCATGTGGTAGTGTTCCGTTTCATACTTGGTTGTTCTTCTACCCATATGCATGTGTTCTCACTAGTTCTACCTTTAGTTCGTCAAGTTCATGCATTTGGTAGTGTTCCGATTCACACTTGGTTGTTCTTCGACTCATATGCATGTGCTTTCACTAGTTCAACCTTCGCTTTGTCAAGTTCATGCATGTGGGAGTGTTCCGATTCACACTTGGATGTTCTTCTACTCATGAGAATGTGTTCTTACTAGTTCTACCTTCACTTTGTTGAATTCATGCATGTGGTAGTGTTCCATTTCACATTTGGCTGATTACCGTTGTGGGATGGGTGACCGACACTTGGCTGCTACTACGGAAGGATGGTTTGATTAGGACTAGTTCTCTCTCTCTCTCTCTCTCTCTCTCTCTCTCTCTCTCTCTCTCTCCCTCTCTCTCTCTCTCTCCTCTCTCTCTCCTCTCTCTCTCTTTCTCTCTCCCTCTCTCTCTCTCTCTTTTTTTTTTTTTTTTTCACACACACACACACAACCTACAGTCTGGCACAGTCATGGCTTTTTTGAGTGTATAGCGAATATGACAACACACAAGCCCGCGTAGCACATCTCCCAGCCTCCCAGGGCCAGGGGAACAGCCGCTACTGCCAGCAACGACCAGAAGGGCATGCCTAAGAGATGTACGGTACCGGTAGGGGCATATGGAAAATTCTTGTGCCTGTACTGAACGGCTATCCGGTAGGGGCAAACTGGAAATTTGGCGCGGGTACCGGTAGGGGCATATTGAAAATGTCTCAGACCCAAACGACGCCAGGGTTTTTTTGGAAACTTGAATGACTGTCAGAGTGGCAAATCAGGGTAAGTCGGCCGTCAGAGGCGTAAATCACAAATAAACGCAAACTTCAGGGGCATTTCGAAAATTTAGCCAAAAAAAGAGAAACGCCTGATGTAAGAGATCGCGAATCACGGCCGTCCCTGCTCGACTGGGCTGACGGCCCAGATCGTTGCATTGCAAGTCTGCTGTAACAAATCTCGACTCGAATCGAGGCCGTAGCGCCAGGATCGGCGCGCGATCTTAAGAATTAAAAATTTAAAATCGCGCGGCAATCCAGGCCGTCGCCTCGGGTGGACCTACGGGTAGGTAGCGTCCGCCTGATGGACCCAGGGCCAGATCCCACTAGCCCCTATTCTTCGTTTCTGACCGTTGATCTTCGTAATCGAGGGTCAAAAATGAATAATCGACGGTAGTGGGGTGGGATCTGACCCCTAGAATCCCCCTGACGGACCTAGATATCCGACTGATGGACCTAGAACGAGAATTCTGCTTAGCCGTACCGGTAAGCCCCCTAACGCTGCCCTACCCGTAGGCCCCCTAACGCTGCCCTACCGGTAGGTAGAGCCCCTAACGCTCCCCCCTACCGGTAGCCCACCGCCGCCCTCCTAAACAATACCGGTAGCGCCAGTGGAAGTTCGGGCTGCGTGTGCGCGTGCGCGTGCGCGTGCGTGCAGGTATGCCTAAGTGCGTGTGCGCGCGACTGTGTGCGCG